TGCAGGAAGGGGGACTTCAGCTGATACCTTTGTGGGGCCTCTCTAATAATGTTGACCGCTACATCATTTTGCCTCTTTGACGTAGGCTTTCCAGGATCTAGGGAGACTGACGACACTTGTCATAGCCTTCTTTTCATCTTAAACAAAGCAGATACCAAAACTCATTTTGTTATTTTTACATTTAATATTTATTACTCATGTCTGATAAACAAAGATACCTCTGTGAAAAAAAAAATATATGCAAAAAGCTACCAAGTTTCAATTTGTTCCTTGTGGCTTGTTTCCATGTTGTAACTTCCTTGGATGACCAATGGCAATTCGCCAAGAATTTGTCCACTCCTTTATCTGACAATGTTCTAATACTAAAACTTCCCAGGTTCATTTTGCCTTCTATGGCATAGGGGGGAAAGGCCTTTCCGTTAGCTATTTCTCAAAAAACCATTTGCCTATGTGATCTATGTCATTGTGGAATGACTGAGTTTTGGGGGAAAAAAATCAATTAGCAGTTGCAGGATGCTATTCATTCCTCTTTTCTTTATGTAATTCAAATAGTAGCTATCAAAGAGTTGGGGTTGAAAATGTTTCCTAATATATTAACAATCATTGCCTGTAAAAGTATTCACTGATACACATTCTCGTTATCCATCCAAGAGTAGACTAAACACATTCTCCAAGTCTTGATTATCAGCATCATGTTTCAATTTATACAGCTCAATGCTTCTCTGGGCCAAGAGAGTCACTACTCAACAGTATTTACAAGACTCTGCTAAACATGCCTGATAAAAATAAAAAGGGAGAGAAAGGTAGTTGTGTCTGATGGACGATTCAACCTCCATGAGAGTCAGTAAGGAGTCTTTTACAAGAGGTTTACTACAGTTAACCCCAAAAGGTTAACTCTAACCTGTTCCTTTAACCCAGCATGGGTAACTTTAAGATTTGTGGCAACTGTGAATGGTCAATAAGGGGGGATGACAAGTGACAACATATGCATCATCTTCTCATCATGCAAATTACATAAGTATATGGGGTAGATGTCTTGACATAAATACCTGATTCCATGATCTGCAGGATTATGTAGGAATGCACAAATATTAATATAATCGTGACTTGCAATGGATACTAGTTAGTAGTGGGTTGCCCCCAGTTTGCACCGGTTCTATAGAACCAGTAATAAAACTGGTGGGAGGCTCTGCCCACTGACCCCAACATCACTAAAACGCTTCTAAAATGCATGCGCAGAAGAGTGTGCGTGTGCGCGAGTGAAGCAAGCAAGCAAGCGCGGCCCTGCTGCGAACTGGTAGTAAGGGTAAGTAGAACCCACCCCTGATGCTAGTGCTTTGCATCATGTTTTTAGCTCCTATATCTCCGATTATTTTAGGCAACCTAGCTTTGCTGATGGAAGTTGAAGGCCAAGAACATCAATGAGACTCCAAGACCCATCTGGCACAGGACATTGGACCCATGTTTAGGCTATGGACTGTCTGAGGTGTTCACGTAATACGCTTTGTGGCCTTACTCCCACTGGAGTGAGTCTCATACAGTTATGATATAAAATTCAGTTAATTAAATATAATTACTCTCCATATGTTGGACAGAACTTCCTCCATCTGTCACATTAAAATTAAAATTAGCAGCAACTGATGGAGGGACCAGAAAAAATTACTGAATCCCATGAGGTTGCATAGTACCCTCTGCTCTGCAGCATCCATTCACAATTTAGGTGGAGAACAACAATAATTTTTCCTAGAGGTCAAATGTAATTCCCCTGAGAAATAGGCTCTCTCCATATGGATGTCCTTCCTTCCTTAAGTCTTGCACTGCTGGTCTGGAAGTAAAGAACTATCAACATCCAGAGGACTTACTTTTGAGTAATCTGTACATAAACCCATATAGTTTGAAAATGCAATATATACCTGGTTGTTGTGCAACTTTCCAATATAGATCTTCCCGCAGAATTGGCTTCAAAGTAGTAGGTAGCTGGATTTAATGAGTGTTAGACTGGATCAGGTTTATAACTAGATTGAGCAGATGAAAGAGACTGAATATGGATATTTAGAATCAATGTTGAAATAGCAAAGGGAATCCAGTTGATATTCTTAAACTCAGGACTAAATCTAGGGCAAAATTATCTCAAAGTTTGGTTTTGATGACACTTTGTCAAGATACTATCTCAGTTTTTAAAAATTAAATGAAAATTATGAATATGATCGAGGAAAAAGAATCCAAACTTTATTATTCCAATGGAAATATTATCTCTGTTTTCAGTATTGGTCCTGCAAGTCTACAATCCTCACTCAGGTTACTTATTCTAAAAATGGTAAGAGAATGGTAAAAGAATGGATATATTCCAGAACAAATTCTTGGAGACATACTGTTTCCAAACTACGTTTTTGAAATGTTTTATCTTAAAATGTGCATAACGGAGAAAGACTTTGTGTAAAGCAGGGATGATGCTGCAGCTATTTTTTAATATCTTAATTCCCACAAGTCCTTACCAGAATGGTCAATGGTGAAGGAATATGAGAGGGTCCAGTGGGATTTAACTGGAAATGCAGTGTAGTCATACATTTCTAGAGTTTAGTCTACAGTCTACAAACACTTTAAACTATAGATAGAAAATCTATGACCTACAACTTTTCAGCAGATATTTCTTTTCTTTTTCTACTGAAAGTGGGGAAAGGGCTTTTTTAAAAAAGTATCGTTTTTAATTCAGAGGACTAATATGAGGTCACCAGCTAATGCAAGTCATGAAATCTTCAAATACAAAAAGAAGAGCTCCAGTAGCTGTTTTATGAGATGATGTTGTATATTCAACATGGTTTCTTCAATCGGATGGTGCTATTCTCACCTCTATGCAGCTGGAAGTCCACCAGAACCCAAGTCCCCTTCCTTCCACCTCTCTGCAGAAACAAAGACCCAAGTAAACACATTGCAACCCCAAAGGGTAAAATACAGAACGTGCAAAAACAGAGACAACGCCTCGCAGCGAATGGAAGCCAGAGAAGAGACGGGCCCAGCTTGCTTGCTTCATTTAAAGTGCTTTATCTGGCAATCTGTCTAATTAGAACAGCTCAGTCAGAGTGCCCACGATCCTTAATAGCAATTGCTGCAGCAGGATGAAGATTGCAATCTGCTTAATTGAGATACCTTCAGGTGATTTAGTGGCTCTTAATAGCACTTTTGGTTATGTGTTTGGTTCTTTCCTGCTGTTGTTATTGGAATGCCTCCTGAATTGTGCCATAGGGTGAAGTTACTTTAGTTACCTCGCAACAGCCCTCTGCTGCATTTCTCTTACTGCTGCCTTCAACAACAGCAGTGCAATCCCCTCTGGATTTTTCTACCCCCAAATTTTTATATCATCGGCAAATTTCAGCCTTTCGCTATTCCTCTGTATAACATCAAATTATGTATAAACAAGTTTAAAAACTCTGATTCCAACTATGGAGGACCCCATTTGATACCACTCTCCAAAACTGTAATTTTATTCCCTTTTTCAGTCTCCTGTTTTGTAACCAGTTTTCTGTTCTTTTATCTTCAGTGCTGTCCTCTTATCCCGATTCTCCTCATGTTTATTTTATACAATATATAGGCTGTTTATGTTAATTGATAACATTGCTGTATGATTTATCAATGGCTGTATATTTGAAAGAACGTGTTTGCACCATTACTATTTACTAAAGCACATAAAAAATATTTTAGCCAGGAGCTTCATCAAAGGATTTTTGAAAGTCCACAGAAAAAATAGTTAATATCAAATAATGTATATCTTTGCTGACTGCCTCAAAAAAAATCCTTAGAAGTTAGGAAGACAAAACTTACTGGAATAAATGCTATATTGGTTATTTTGCAGTAAACTCTTCTAGATGTTTGGTTATTTTCTTTTTTAATTATAGTAATATACTTATACTATACTATTACACACTTTACTTAGAACAAATGCTAAGTTAATTAGCCTATATCTTCATTATATCCTCCTTCAATCCCTTTTTTTAAAAACTGGAATTACTTTGGCTATTTTCCAGTCCTCAGGAGCTGCTGTTGATCTTAAAGAGAAGTTGTATATTTTTATTAGAAGATAAGCAATTTCACATTTGAGTTTTTAAGGATGGTGGATGAACCTAGGATTTATTTGTTTTAAAATGTCACGGAAGCTTATAACTTGTCTCTTCTAACAGTTCAACTGATTTCCCCTCCAAAACAGGGAAGTGCACCTGTCCTATATTCCAGCAGTGAAAGAATTCATGCAGTTTCTCTTCCATTTCTTTATCTTCCTCTTTCATTGATTGTGCCATCAAATTAGTATCAACTCTTAGCAACTACATAGATTTTCCCTGTGACAATCTATCCCTAAACCTAGTTCTTCAGGTTTTCCAATGGTAAACCCTCATCACCCTAATAACTGAGTCCATCCACTTTGCTGATGGTTGTTGTCTTCTCTTTTCTTCCACCTATCCCAGAATTAGAGCTTTTTCTAGAGAGGTGGAACTTTGCATAATGTGTTCAAAGCAAGATCATTTGAGCCTGGCCATTTGTGCCTCCAGAGAGAACTCTTGAGTTGATTCTGTATGTTTTCTTGGCTATGCCCAATATTCTCAAGAGTATCATCTTCTAGCACATCTTCAACACCTATCATCTAATGGTCCAATGGCCTATCTAGTCAGCTTCTTAATCCAAATATATTTAAATAAAGTGATATTGTTCTTCTTAACTTTCTTTGCAATTTGGTTTTTAATCCCTACTCTTCAAGGGCGAAGTTTCATGAACCTCATACTACCTACTTTGCAGTAGATCATCTTCAATTCATTCCATTATGATGATTCATATGTTTCTCATTTAATGCTTTCTCACTGTAGAAGGGTAGTCACCTGTTTTGATTCTCTTGCCAAAAATGAATTTAAAAAATTAATATTGCTATATGAGGATTTTAGGAAGAAATTGTTTCACAGAAATGTAGATGGGAGAAACCCATTTTTCATAGATAGGCCATCAACCACATGATAATCTACCAGCAACTTGAATTTTATTGATAGGGATAAATTGACTATTTCAAACTCATACTGCCATTCTTAGCCATCTATCTTACAAGAGAAGCTAATTTAAGGAGGCAGATGGAGGTAGAAGTGGTTTTCAAATATCCTTTAAAGAAAAAAAAATAGGTGAGTGAGCATGCTTCTCTGCAAAGTATACTTTGAAAACATTAAGTTAAAATTGAAGGTGGCCAAACTCTGATCCCAGAGCCTAATAAGCTCATGAAAGTGTGGAGTCAAAAACAGGTTTTAAAAATGGTTTCCTTGAGTCAAGAATTTTTACTCCTGAGGATTCCAAGAATACATGCAACATACATTATTTTTAAAAAATCCCTTAACAAAACAAAAAAGGACAAGAGAATGCTGATCATATATGTATATACTGCATTGCCACATGTACTGTAGTCCTTGCCTCTTCAAAAATATTTAGTGGTCTGAGCCACCCAAAGGCTGCCCCTTCCGGATATACATGATAGCCCAGATAAGCCCCCCCTCCCCCCTCAGGTGTAGTGATCAACATTTTCTTTCTTTTCAAAGGATTCTTTACATTATCAGTTTTTAAAAGAGTAAACAGTGGGCCTAAAGAGCCATGAATTGCAAATAATACCTTTGGTGACACAAAAACTACAGATAAGGAAAGATCACTAGTAATTTTCACCAATTAGATTTATTCTGAATGGTCTGGTTTCTTAGCTTAAGCTGTCCCTGCAATTGCAACAGACTATACCTTGGAATCCCACTGTTGAGGTGTTTCAAAATAATCCTTTGCCATTTCGTCCAAGCTGGTGCCACAGGAAGTAAGCTCAACTGTATTCAGTGGGACTTACTCCCAAAGTAAATGAGTTAGAGATTGCATCTTTGGTTTTACATATTTAGAAGGTATGTCTTTACTTTGTTCTTTTGCACAGCTCAGCTTTGGTCTGTCCCCATCCTGCCTCACAGTCATCTTTTCTTGGGAGATTAGCTGGACATGAATGAGGAGATGACCTCAGTGTCTCTTCTGTGGGTGTTGGCTTGGCATGCCTGGAGATTGAGATAGAAGAGGCAATTTGTAACTTATCAAAATTGCTTGCACAATTTTCATTAAGGTGAAATGCCTGGCAATTGCAATCACATTCGGACTGCTACCATGCTCCTCCCAAATCTTTCAAATGAACGAAGGCAGAAAGTAGTGTAGAGAGCAAAGTATTCTTCATTGCTACATCTTCCTGTTGGGGCATGAAGGATTGAAAAAGCATCACCTGAATTTCTGATGTTCCAAAAGAATGCATTGTATGATGAAGATTCAGCAAAGGCAGTGGACTAGTGGTAATCCTTATCTGTAGAGATTTATCTACCAGCCACTGGGATTGAATGCTGTCCACTTATGACCACAATTGAGCCCAAAATTCATGTTGCTAAATGAGACATTTGTTAAGTGAGTTTTGTCCCATTTTATGACCTTTCTTGCTATAGTTGTTAACAACAGTTGGAGTTGTTAGTCACACAGTTGTTAAGCAAATCCGGCTTCCTCATTGAATTTGCTTATCAGAAGGTGGCAAAAGGGGAATTATATGACGCTGCAACTATCATAAATATGAACCAGTTGCCAAGCATCTGAATTTTGACCATGTGACCATGGGGATGCTGCAATGGTCATAAGTGTGAAAAATGGTCATAAGTCAGTGCCACTGTAACTTTGAACAGTCACTAAATAAACTGTTGTAAGTCAAACCTGTATGTTTTTACCACAGGAAAAAAAAATCAATCGGGATGAACTGAACAGAAGAATCACAGAAATTGATGGATAGTGAAGTTATTCACCAATTTATGTCTGAAATCAGATGTAGTAGCCTCATAATACCAGTTTATAGGAATAAAAGCAGAGGGGTACAAATGAGAATCTGCAGGAGAACAATGGTGCCATTTGCAAATTTGCATCATTGGTGCACTGATATGATTTCTACTGCAATTGCCGTCATATCCTGTTTTGGAGGCCCTCTGCTCTAATCCCAATGAGGCTTCTGATTGTAACCTATCAGCTCACCGATCACATTAAGCCACAATTGTTGGGTTTAGACTAGCGCTAAGTGATTAGTCATTGTTTGAGGATGACCATGTTCACACAACATACTGAGTTGCAACCAGCACGACTCACCCTCAGGACTTCGCACAATTTGTGAAGTTAAAGACAAGACTTTTCCATACTTGGGATCTACAATATCATTCAACAACCTCTGTGCTTATAGATCTCTAGTAGATGGACTTTATCCTGCACCAGCAATGGACTTCTGAATACTTTATAAATTCCTAGCGTAGAAAGGGTCTCAATTTCTTGCTCCAATTATAGAAAGAAATGTCTCTAGAGATAAATTTCATTTGCTCAATCTGAACATGACTTCTCTAGGCTGGGCCTTTAGATACAGGCATCCAGTGGACGTTGGATGACATAATGGGCATCAATTGCACAATGACAACTTGATGTATGGGATATGACATCACTGACGCCACCACCAGTTCTACCATACAGATCGCTGTGCCCCAGAAGCCTCATTGAATCTTGGAAGTGTGCAAGGCACATCATCATCATCATCATCATCATTTACTACTGAGCAGAAAACAAATCCCCAGCCCTCTTCCTTACCTTCACTATTCATCTTTCTGGTATTTTGGGGCCATTTGGACAGAAAGGGATTTGGTTTTGCAAAGTCTTGTTGGCTGCATTCCTCTAAACAGCACCCAACCGGGTGCTCAAAAAATGACATTATTGCAACCTGCTCCATCAGGGGGCGCTCTGAACCCTGTAAATCAGAAAAAAAGTTGTCTGATCAAGACACAAAGACAAGCGGGACCGGCGGCCACAGGCCCCCCACTTACCCGAGGGTTACCTTAAACTAGCGTTTTATCGACGCGGGTTTCTCGAGCCGTAAACGGGACGCGCCGTGGAAAGAGTGGAACTAGATTCGCCTTCTTTGTGGCTTATGTGCTGAGAAAGCTTGCTCTCCCTGCCGACAAATTGGGGATCAGGACGGCAGGAAGAAGGGGCTGTTTTCCTTCCACTCTCTCACTGCAGCTCGGCCAGCTTCCTTTCTGCTCTGCAAGAAATGCGCCGCGTACGAATTGCGGGATCCCTCCGGTAACTTGACGAACGTTATTAGTACCTCTTGCATTCTCTAGGGGGGGAACCTGCAGCGCCATCAGCCGGTTTCTACATCCATACGCAAGGAAAGAACAACGATCAGATTAATCTGGAGATTGCGTTGATCAGGGCAGGTACGGAAGCGAGGGAGTCAGTTTCTGTCACACCCACCTCTTCGCGAGGGACTGAATTGCCCCGTCGCCGTCCCACTCGCCCTCGCCCCGTGCAGAGGGGCTTTTCGCCCATTTTGCAAAATCTTAAGGTGCGGTGTTGCTTTTCAGCTCTTAACATATGGAAAATTGGACTTGCACGGGCGAGCTTTCTGGGAAAGACATAGGGGGCCAGGAGATACCTGCTGAAAGGAGCCCCGTGGGTCCGTTATTTACCCCCTAGGAAAGACAGTGGAACTCAGTGGATTTACTCCTGATAAGTCATTAAGTCAGGGTGGATTGTATTCCTCTATTAAAGTCAGTTAAGTTTCTCGCCCGCGCTCCAATAAGCAAAACAGGTTATCATAGAAAGCTAAGAACTACAAATTGTGAACATCATCCCTTACCTAATGCCTTCCAGAGATTTAGGGCAATAACTCCCATCAGGAGGCTGGCTGAGGATGATGAAAGTTGTAGTTCTGTCATATCAGGCTGGCATTAGGTTGGAGAAAGCTAACGAAATCTCAAACGCGTTTACCCCACGTCTTCTCCCTCCCTTCCTGGCCTTCGAAAAGCCGAGACAGACAGGAAGGAAGCTGGGACCAAGGGGGGGGAAAAAAAAAAAGGAAACACGAACCAGAGGCCTGAAGAGAGATAAAGCTTTCTGGTGCAAACTGGTTTTCTTTTGATTCCCTTAGCATTTGGCAAGGGAGGGAGAGAAATCAGGACGAGGGAGGGAGGGAGGGACGGTTGTTAATGGGATTTTGTTCTTCGAATTGAATGCGCTCGTTTTTAAAACGCGCAGGATCTAAAAAACTACTTTCCCTTGGGAACACCTGCTCAAATAGGTCTGGGGCTTCCAATACTCCAGATCTGCAGATCCCCCGGTAGGATCTCCTCTGAAAAGCGATTGTGCCCCGTCAGCGCCCTTTAGTCCTCTGAGTCAGGCTTCTGAGTTTTAGTTCTTCGCAGCCCATGGCTTAAAGGACGGCGTCGCGCTCCACTAGAGAGAGTAAAATCCTATCCCCCCTCACCACTCCTCCTTTCGCCCCTTCTCTTTACGTGCCGCTTATCCCCCTTGGGCCCAGAGGAAAAGATTTGTCCTAAAGGTAAAAGAAAAGAAAGGACCGGAGCTGGGATTGCGCAGTATGAGGAGACACCGCAGAAATGGATCTTCTAACGTAGCACTTACTCTTTCTCAGAAGTAAATTCCGCTGAAATTAGTGGGAGGAAAAGCTCTCTTCGCAGCGGATCTTCGTAAATTCGCTTCGAATAAACAGAAAAACACTGATTTTGGAGAAAGAAAGGTTTTTCCTACCGGTCGTTGAATATTCATTGCGGGTAGTTTTGTAAGCCAAGCCCCCCACTCCAAATTCCTTCGGTTTAGTAGTCCCAGGTCTTCAAAATAAACAAATGAACAAACAAAAACTTATGGACAAGGAAATCTGGAATGGCTGGTAGTAGAACGTTCAGCAGCTATCCGCTCCTCCTCCTTCCTCCAAATTGATCTGGGAATATGTTTGGGGTGGTCTGACTGGGAAAAGTAAAATCTAAGCTCTCGATTAATTTGCTTCCCTTCCTTAATTCCTGCAATCACCAGCATTTCAATCCGAGCAATTCACTTGATCAATTTTATTTATGGCTTCAACGTGGTTGAATCGGTAGCCAGATCGGCCCCGTTCATGGAATTGAACTGGAAAGAAGTCTTCTTTGTGGTCAAAGTCGATGCTTTCAGAATCGGCCATTAACTTGCTCCCAAACCCAGAGGAGCATGTAAAAAACCAAGGAGTACAAATCCCGAGCCGGCCATCCTTAAATTCAGATATTTGGAATGAAGATGCGCTGTCCGCTGTAGTCATTCTGAGTCGAAAGACGTTCGATTTAGGACATATTCCAATCGAATGGCCTTTCTTAGGAACAAATAGATCAAGGAGGGGGATCTGTAGAACTGCAAGCTCAAAAACAGGAGATAGAATTGCGCTGGGAACTCAGCTTCACTGGAGGGGAGGAAGACGAAATCATTCTTTCGAACTTCAGATTCCAGCATCGCCTATACTAGTGGAATACAGATTTGACCACCGTCCCCGACCAGGTGCCCTCGAAATGTGTTGGATACTCCGATCATGCTTAGACAAGAATCTTGTTAATTATGCAGATGATTTTTTTTTAAATGTAGTCCAATAGATCTGGAAAGCACTCCGTGGGGAAAAACAGGCATTCGATCCCTGAATATAGAATTCAAATGATCTATTTTTCCTGAGGGACCCTCATAATCACACTAGAGACTTAGATCTCCCAAGTCACAAGTGGTTCCTTCCATAATCGCCACAGATTGCCCAGAAGCAAGCCAAGGGACTAAACTGAAGTCCAGTTTGCCTTCCCCCAAAGACCCATGTAAAGTGCACTGGCAATGATATACTTGAAACTCTGGGTCCATTTACTGAATGGTGAATTCTAATTAGATCAGCGGCAACGTGCTCCTGTTCCAGTAAAAAGGTGTGAGGTCAGGCCTTGCTTTAGCTTGAAACAAGGGAGCTGAGAAGTCAATATTTGACAGTCTCAATTCAGAGTCAAGTTTAACTCTGTCCAATAATCGTGGTAGCCCAATTCTAGACAGACAATTCAGAAGGAAATTTTGCTGAATTGAAAGGGACAAATGCCATTTTGGTGGTCTAGAGAGTTACAACCTCTCTGGAGAATAATATCCACGGATCTTGGCAGGACTTAACTGCCAACTAAATTTGGAGAGGATAGCTGTCAACTTTGCTACCTTGGTGATCTTGGGCCAGTCACTCTCTCTCCCTCTCAGCCCCTCTCAGGGTGGTTGTTGTGGGGAAAATAGGAGGAGGAAAGTTAATTAGGTATGTTGACTGCCTTGAGTTATTTATAAAAATAATAAAGGTAGGATATAAATAAAATAAATAACATATTGGCAAAGTGGGGGGAGAGAAGGGAGCATGTAATATAATTATTGGGGGACTACTATCCTATTGAACTCAACTTTACTTTCCAACAAATAAATAATAGCAATACATAAACAAATCTTCACTGGCAAACAAACCTCAGCCTAAGGGTCCTGTTTGTAGGAACGGCTCACTTCAGCTGTCCACCCCAAACGTCCCCTCCCTCGATAAAACCCACAATTGGCTCTCAAGACCAATGGGGAAAAAAAATACCGGCCAAAGATGTTGGGCAGGCTTGGAATCAAAGTTGGTTTTCGTAATGGGTAGCTGCGGCTGGAGTAACAGAGGAACTGCCAGCTCATTGCTTCAACTGTCAAAAGAGGGAAAGTATTCAAGGGTATGGGATGCCCAGCCTCCAAGGGGCTCCGGGAAAGGGATGTGATGGGAGACAGAATTTGCCTAAAGGGACAAATTAACACCTCGGGATGAAGTGAGCCGCTGATATAATCTTTCATGCATGCCCCCATCCCCCTTCCAGTACTTGACATGTTTAAAAATAGTTCCTATTAATGATTAATCAAATCACAATTAGGGCTGATTATCAAGGCACAGAAAGATGGCTAGGGGCTGGGGAAAGGGGGGAAAATGTGATCTGTTGTTACATTCAGCTGAAGTGTGATGCTGTAAGAACAACCAATCTTCGCTAAAAGGCCAGGAAAGTAGCGTGGCCTGGGGCTGTGATTGGAGAGACAAAAGGGGACGCCAAAAGGGACGGTTTCGAAGTGTCTCCTTGGGCTACTTTTGTCACTGTTTCAGAAAGACCTTGTGCATAACAACGCCTCCCCCTTCAGCACAGAGCACCTTCGGACAATCCAGATCTGGTGGAGATCAATAGAAGGACGTCTGGAAGCCTGAATGGGCTTTTAGGATTCTTCACTTTGGCCAGGCTGTGTCCTCAATGGGCCTTTAAGTCCATCCCCTGTTAATTTTCCCTTCCATCCTTACAGGGGTTCCTCAAGTCTATCAAAGGCGTTTTCTCTGAATTCTTCAGAAAGAAGGGGGTTGAGAAAATAAGTACATAACAAAACTGATCGAATGTCAGCGTATAAAGTCTAAATACAATTACCCCAACCTTGTAACTTTCTTTGCTAGACTGCTTTAGAGCGATATATTTCAAGCATGAGGGTGATATTCCCCTTGACCCATCTTCTTTCAAATCGTTCTGAAACTGACTGCTTTAGAGCCAGGCAATCACGATTGGGAGTCTACCAGATTTCTCCAACTCCCTCCCTTCACCCCGCAAAATCAGGAGCCATCTTTCTTGGTTCTCCTCACAAAAGACCAGCCGGAGAGGTTCTTGTGAAAAGTCTCTGGCGACTCTGGGTTTATTTAATTAGTAGTCAATGTGTTCGAGGAGTGGGAATGACCCCACACCCATTAAATTCTCCTCCCCACCCTTGACACAAAGGCTTAATACGTTATCACTTATAAAGTTAACTAAGAGAGGGGGGGTTGTACACACAGATCTTCCTAAATCCTGCCCGCCTGCCTCCCTAAATACTTGTCAAAAGCTGGTCAAGTGTTAGAGAAAGAAAGGAATCTGTCCCTAGAAGTTTGGTCAGACAGCTGGCTGGAGCAGGGAAGGGTGAGGTTATGGGGACCTGGGAACACGGCGTGGGGGGTCTCTCTCCTTCTCACCTTGATCCAGCCTTCTGAGACGACTGGAAGGCCATTTGCCACTTCTCCCGCAGCCCTGGGAGAAGCAGTGACTTCCACGAAAACTCTGGACGGCTGTAGAAGGAAGCGTGCATATAGGCAGTCGACAGGGCCCGTTGGAGGAGATCAAAGAGTCAGAGAGAACCGTCCGGGCAACCCAAGGCCTTGCCAAGAGAGGCTTGCGCTTGAGAGGAAGGTGTGGAGACAACTAGGTGGCTTTAAGTCGCTGCCATTCAGGCAAGGCGATGCCAGGCGAGTAAGAGCCTTCTAATTTGCACAAACCTAACGAGGGAAGAACTCGCTCGCATCCAGATTGGCGATAAATATCCACATTTGCAAAAACATTTTAGACGTTGCTAGAGACAATTCGAGGCGCTATATTCTCACAGCCGTGCATTTCTTTTGCAAGATTCATAGAAAAATCGCCGCTTGTTGTTTGACACACGCAGAGAGTTTAGGTTCCCGTTTATTGATTTCCCCTTGAAGTGCTCATTTATATTGCCACTTAAAATGTCCAAACGATGGATCAGACCCCCATTTTGGCAAACCCTTTCTTGGAATTGGGGTGGGTGGGGGTGGGAGAATAGATGCAGTCTGATGAAAACCTCTGAAAACCCGCCACAATACCGTTTGCAACCGGGTCAAATCGAGATATTAACACTCTTAAAACGGGTTTGGCGATTTCTCTTTACGTTCAACACTGCTACATATTTCCTTTTCCTGTATCATCTGCTACCACCTCAAAAACCCCTCCAGCTCAATTTCTCTTCCCTGCCCCCCTCCTCCCCCGAAATCTAACATCGAGCCTATCGCAATCTTCTCCAAAGCCTTCCAAAAATATCTAGTGGAATTAACAAAGGTATTACTGTGGTTAAAGCGATGTTGGCCTCTTGGTGAGTGACTGGGGTGTGCATGTTTTCATTCCGGACGAGTAGATATTGCCATTCGATCCACCTAACGTCCTGTGCGGGGAAGGAGGCTAGAGAAGCCGCATATGGATGGGAGGGGGATATGGATGAGGGGTCCGTGTGTGTGTGTGTGCGCGTGTGTGGCCGGTCTCAGAACTGTAATTCTCCGAGCGGCGGTGGCAGCAACTTCTGGAGTACTAGCAGCAACATTTCTCTCCGACGCCCATTCAGAACTCGCCTCCGCCTTTTCATTGGCTGCGCAGTCCGTAAGGGCGGAGCTTCATGGCCTGGAAAGAAAAGGGGGAGAGGGAAAAGAAACTCCAGCGAGTGCGTAAAAAAGTCTTTGCCTCCGCGACGGATGCTCAAAAGTTCAGAAGTTTTTTTCCCGGTGCCTTCCCGAGGAGCTCGCGGCTGAGCAAAGGCGAGTGAGAAGCCGAGACGGAGCCCGAGGCAGCCCTTCAACCCTCCAGGCGTTGGAGAGAAGGTGGATCTTTCGTCCTAAGCTGAGCTTTACACCAGAAAGGAGGAGGAGGAGGAGGAGGAGGGAGAGAGAAAGGGAGAAATATCCGGACCGGGGCCTCTCCCTCCACATTTTTTCCCCTCTCCTCTCTTGCCTGCTGTTTACTTCGCCTGGCTGGGACCGCGTTTGTCAACCTGTTGGCGAGCTCCGCGGGAAAAACAACTCGGGAAACGGAGTGGGCTCCCCGTGAGTGCGCGCCTTTCTATTTTTGTGCTCGATGGAAGTAACTAACTTTTCTTCTCGGCGGCGGCCGCTTCCGTGGAGTGTCGGCGCCTCGGTTTAAGAAGAAGAACCCAGGAGGAGGAGGAGGAGGAGGGGGGAGGGAAAGAGATCGAGTCCCCCCTCTCACCCCTCCTCCCTTTTCTCGCTGGCTGTTTTATTTACTGATTACTTTTTTGCGAGCATTTTCCTTTTCGCACACTTGAGCCGAGGAAGGGAGAAAACCGACTAGGATCCAGAAAGGGGGGGGAGTCGGTTCGTTCCCCCCCACTTTTTTTTCTTCTTCTTCTTTTTGGAAAAAAGGAAAATCCTGGTCGCCTCTCCTGGTTTATACTTTTTTGGCTCCGGATTTGCGGAGGGGTGGAGGGGGGAAAGCAGAGGAGGCGGCGGCGGGGGAGGAGGAGGCGGCGGCGGAGGCGGCGGAGGAGGAGGCGGCCAGTCTGCTGCTGCTTGGTCCGGCTGGGCTGCTGGAAGGGAGGCCATGCAGGCTCGCTATTCGGTGTCCAGCCCCAACTCGCTGGGAGTGGTACCTTACCTCGGCGGTGAGCAGAGCTACTACCGGGCGGCAGCCGGAGGGGGCTACGCGGCCATGCCTGCCCCCATGAGCATGTACTCGACTCACCCGGCAGCTCATGAGCAGTACCCGGGCGGGGGCGGCGGCGGGGGGGCCGGCGGCTTAGGCAGGCCGTACGGCCCGTACCCACCGCAGCCGCAGCCCAAGGACCTGGTCAAGCCGCCCTACAGCTACATCGCGCTCATCACCATGGCCATCCAGAACGCGCCCGAGAAGAAGATCACGCTGAACGGCATCTACCAGTTCATCATGGAGCGCTTCCCCTTCTACCGGGACAACAAGCAGGGCTGGCAGAACTCCATCCGGCACAACCTCTCGCTCAACGAGTGCTTCGTCAAGGTGCCCCGCGACGACAAGAAGCCCGGCAAGGGCAGCTACTGGACCCTCGACCCGGATTCCTACAACATGTTCGAGAACGGCTCTTTCCTCCGCCGCCGCCGCCGCTTCAAGAAAAAAGACGCCGTCAAGGACAAGGAGGAGAAGGAGCGCCTCCAGCTGAAGGAGCCGCCGCCGCCGCGGCACCAGCCGCAAGAGGGAAGCCAGCAGCAGCAGCAGCAGTCCCAGCCGCCTCCCCCCGTCAGACTTCAGGACATCAAGACGGAGAACGGCTCGGCGTCTCCCCCGCAAGCCTTGTCCCCGCTGGGAGGAGCGCCGGTGCCCAAGATCGAAAGCCCCGAGAGCTCCAGCACCAGCAGCCTCTCCAGCGGAGGAGGAGGAGGAGGAGGAGGCAGCCCGCGAGGTGGCCGAGCGCTGGGCTTGGAATCCAGCGGAGCAGCCGAGTCCCAGCCGCAGAATCAGCACCACCCCCATCATCCTCACCCGCACCCCCACCACCATCATCCGCACCCCCACCACCACGCTGCCCTCCATCACCCACCGGCGCACCATCATCCCGGCGGCGGCGGCGGCGGGGGCTTCAGCGTGGACAACATCATCATGACTTCCCTGCGCACCTCGCCTCAGGGCGCCTCCGCCGAGCTCCTGTCTTTGCCGCCGTCCGCCGCCGCCTCTTCTGCGGCCTCCTCGGCCTCTTCCTCCTCCTCGTCCACCGCCTCCACTTCCAGGACGGCCGCTCTGGCCTTGAGCAGCGGCTGCTATTCCCCGGCGGCGCAGAGCTCGCTCTACAGCGCCCCCTGCAGTCAGGGCGTCAACACCACCAGCAGCGCGGCCTCGCCGGCGGGCGGCATCACCGCCAGCACCAGCAGCAGTTACCACTGCAACTTGCAGGCCATGAGTCTCTACGCGGCCGCCGCCGCCGCCGCCGCCGCCGCGGCCTCAGGGGGAGGGACGGGGATCAACAGCGGAGGGGACCGAAGCGGCGGGGGCCACTTGGGCAGCAGCCCCGTCGAGCCGGACCCGCTGCCCGAGTACAGCCTGGCGGCCAGCAGTAGCAGTAGCGCCTCTTCCCTCAGCCTGAGCCCTCAGGAGGGGCACCCTCAAGGCGGCGGCCGCTTGGCCTCTTGGTACCTCAACCAAGCCTCGGCGGTGGGCGAGCTGACGCATTTGGGCCCCGCTTCGGCTACGTCGGCCTCCTCCCCCTCCTCGTCGGCGGGCTACCCGGGCCAGCAGCAGAACTTCCACGCCGTGAGGGAAATGTTCGAGTCCTCCCAGCGGCTGGGCTTGAACAACTCTCCCGGCGGCAATGGCAGCGGCGGGGCCAGCAGCTGCCAAATGGCCTTTCCCGCCAGCCAAAGCCTTTATCGCCCTTCAGGCGCCTTCGTCTACGACTGCAGCAAGTTTTGACCGCCGGCAGCGGGGGAAGGGAAAGGAGGCGCCGAGCCGAGCCGAGCGGAGAGGCTTATATAAAGAACTCCCATTCCAGGCCTCCCTTCCCCCACAAAACCAAAGAGGGGAAGAAAGAAAAAAAAAAAAACACTATTCCGTGCAAAGGCGACATTTGCCCAGTAGATAATTATTAAGTCATGGTTTGTTTTAAGGACAGTGTTACACCAAATAACACGTAAGTTTGTATGCTTTTCTCCCCTCCTCACCCCCCCCCCCCCCCCACTCTCCCTTTTGCCTTTGAAAACTGCCTCCCTCTCCCGTCCAACCCCTCAACAAGCGGCCCTCAAATTTCCCATTTGCTGCGCCAGACTGCTTGGATGGCTGCCTGCCTTGCGCTTGACTGGTTGGATGGCGACCTGAGGAGGCGCATCCCCGCAACTGAGCGCGCAAGGCAGGCCGCGAAACCAGACCCACCTACCCAGCCACCCACCCCCGTGGCTCCCAACACGGGTGGGAGTTTTGCCGTTTGATTTCAGTGAGGGCCTCTCGCCCCTCTTTGAACAAGGCGCAGCGCCTTTTCCAAAAAGCTGTAAGAAGTTTTTTGCCCGTTGACTCGTACGCAACTTGGATTGCGCAGTACACGTGTTGTTTCTTCTCTTCTTTTTCCTTCTCCTTTCCTTCTTCTTTTCCTTCTCGCTTCCCTCCCCCCCGTCCCCCCTTAAAGGGCTGTTTTATACGCAAAGACTTGTTTTAAAGTGTAAATGGAACATAGTAATTTATTTTTAAATCTCTTGTTGGATCGTTCGGACCAAACACCAAAAATGTTTGCCCCTCTCCTTTATCAAGAAAAAAAAAAATAACTGACTTTAAAATGACCTGAAACGCTCATTTTTTTTCTTCTTCCATTATATAAGAAAAAAAGGGGGGATTGTATTAATCTTATTTTATCATTTTATCATTTTTCCTTTTGTTGTTGTTGTTGTTGAAGATACCTTGAAGTTACTGACTTTTGTTTATTAATAAATTACCATTCAATTGGACCAAGAGCATTTACGTCTGGATATATTCATCCCACTTTTAAAGTTAATTTTTAAAAAATCTATCAGTCGAAAATATGAATAATTTTAGTGATAAATCAAAACAATAGTTTTGTATTAAAAAAAAACCCTACTGAGTAACTGTATCTGCAAGACTTTTGAGTGCTGCCAGTCAATTTTAATTTAATAACATCACTGCTGAACTATTTTATCAGTAAGTAAATCTCATTTATTCCATCTATTTTACCCTGATTTCAGTGGAATGCGCTGTCAGATGGACTTTTGGATGAAGTTAAAATTGAGGTAAAACAAATGCTCTGAATCAACCACTTTCTTGACAGAAGTATTATAGTTACAGTTTTGAGATTTATGTTTATTATATCTTTGGAATCTAGGAGAAAAATTCATTAGGAGAAAAATTCACAAACATCTGAGCAGCCAAGCCATCAGAATTGACTAGCATTAGAACTAAAGGTCAGGAGACATTTGGCTAATTGAACTTACAGGCATTGCTATATGACGCATAAAGGAAGGCGGCATTACAGAAGTCATAAAAAGGTCCAGAAACAAATAATGGGTGTATGTAAACCTGCTATTTTTAGCAACCTTTTCTGGTTTCATGTCTGAGTGCTTTTACACAGAAGTAAATCCCACTAATTTGTGCAGGACTTTTTCTTCTGAACAAGCATGTATATTATTGCATTGAACCTTTCTGAATATACATCATTTTTAATATATGTTTCTCTCCCTTTCTCTCTCATCCTAGTATGTAAAGCTGTTTTATTTTCTAATAGTTATTTGTACCTTGGGACTCCTTATTGATTATTCATTTATACAAAACACTCTTAACTAAATTTTTATTTCACAAATGAAGGCAAATTTACCTGTCCCAGGATAATGTTGCAGGATGTAACCAGATTGGATCCTAAACATTTATTCCCCCCTACCTTTTTCCCCCTTCTAGACAAAGGGGCTATTAGTATTGTGTGTGTTATTTTTGTTTGTTTTAATTTTCAAAATGTAAGAGTGAAAGAAGTTAGAAGCATCATAAGGATTTCCAATATTGTTGTGGTCTAGTCTACTTTTCAAATCCACCAAAACTAATGCCAGATTAAGCTCTAAGATTCCATAAAATCGTTACCTGATTTTTAAGGTGGCTGATTGTGAGTGAGAGAATTTTTAAGGGCAACTAGCTCACCCCCTTGGCCTCTGCTTCCTTCGTCTACCAATGATTTGGACTCCCACCCACCTTCTTTCATAATTTCTCTGCCTTTTTTTCTTTCTTAAATAGAATAAATTGCCTTCAGGGATGGCTGCAGGAGCATAAGGTTAAGTCTTGTCAAATGAAGAAGCTCACCTTCAGGTCAATCCCTGAATAGAGGAGTTTGAGGGATACAAGGAAGTCCTTTCCCACAATAACTAACCAATCAGCCAATGCAATCTACTTTTAGCAGAGAGGGACTGGTCTACCCTCAGAGAAGCAGTGAAGAGAAGCTCTATTGGTAAGCCCCTGGTGTAAATTTTCAAGAGAAAGCAACCTCCTATCGCTGATCTAATCTAAGGCAACACTTGGCAGTAATTGTCCCTGGATTGTTAAGGGCCACAAATAGTAAATAAATTCAAACTAATTTAATTAAGAATTGATCAATCAGGCACCTTCTCGCCTCAGCTGGGCCTCCAAGGAGATAAGAAAAGAAGGCTCAGAAACACAGGATAGTACCCTATTAAATGTGTTTAGTTTGTTTGGATTTTTATTTTTACTTCCACTAAGGAATTAATCACAAGCAATTGCAGTATTGTAATATTTTTTTAATGTTTCTTTAAAAAATGTTTTGAATTATCAGAAGGACAATGCACTGAGGCTATGTGTATTTTATATGTATTTTGAATGTATTTTGAAGGGAGCTATATTAAGTAAGGTGAGATTTAATCTCAAGAAAGGAACCACATGGAAATTTAAATTTAGAATTTATAGAACTTATTCTTGATTTTGGATAAATTCTTACTTATGAAATGACATGGGTTACTTTTTAATTTCTTAAATAAGAATCCAAAGACTAACATTTTAATCTATAACCAGATCTCCAAATCACTTCGTCTGAAGATATTGTAATAATTTGAACAAAATAGACCTATTTAAGATTTTAAATGGAAAAATAGTTTGGTTTTAACAGGTTCTTGATATTGATTGGTGTCTCTTTTTAAGACTGGATCCTGCATGTAGTTGAACTGAGTGAAACAGATTTCATAGGTGCACATAGCTTTGGTTTCAGCTGGTCTCTAATATGCTTATCTAGCCTGATTTAGAGAGCTAGTGGCATTAGTATACTTTATGGTTGGATTACTGGGTGTTGGAGGCAGGAATCTCTAGGCTTCTTCTAAAAGTTATTTTAAACCGAACATGAGCTTAGCTCATTTTATACAATCAGTGAACATAGAATATTATGTTAACAGAATATCGTAACCTATGCATGTCATAAAAGTATAATATTTAGGAAAGGAAAGGTTTAGAAAGAACCTTTGTGTTCAGTGGGGGTGAGAGAATTAAGCTTGTGTTCATTTCCATAATAAGCGTTTTATATACTTAGGTTTTAGCCAGTTTGAATCCCTTGTGTTTGTTCTTGTACATATAAGAAATCAAGGTGAAGAGAAGGAAATTGGACTGAAGGCGTGGGGGATGGCTATTGCCTTTCTATTTAGTTTCAGTTTTGTTCAAGGGGGGGAAGGGAATGGAGTAGGAGACAATTCTTATGGCAACCTCATAGGCCCACTCCTCAAATCCACTCACAATTCAGCTTTTGGACTTCTGGGTAGGTACCATGGAAACTCCATTGGAGTATGGAAAGCATTGTTGACCTCACCCAGTTGACATTGAGATAACAGAAAGGAGCACTGTGCTTAAGGCGGTTCTGTCTCTTGGGTCATTCATTTTTTTGGACCAATGTCCTCTCTCCCCCCTCCCAATTTTCTTCATGAGAAAAACCTGGGAGGCAAAGGGGAAGGGTTTCTGTGAGTGCTCCTTTGCTGATTTAGTGGATTTCCAATGGCACAAGTAACTTCCTGTCTTTCCAGCAGTCACAGCCAATTCTTCTGAGGATTAGATTCCTTGACAAAACAGTAGATTTGGGGACAGGCTGGAGATGTGGCTGGGGGAGGGGGAGGAATAGGAGTTCTGTTTTATCCCAACTTTCCCCCACAAAGTACCTACAAGGATGCATTGAGTAGGGAATGGTATTGGGCCAACAAATCTGGTTAAGAAAATGGCTTCAGTGCAGGCACAGAACTGGCACACAGGCCGCTTGGCTGATGCAAATCTCGCTCTTTGTGCCAAGGCTTTCTGGAAGTGGCTGTCCCCCAAATCAGTGCAACTTGCTTCTCGTGGGAAAGCAGCGCAGTTCAGGCCCTGTTCTGGAGTCCAGCTGTTTCAACTGTCCCTGAAGTGTTTGATCTTAGAGAAGGAAGGAAGGCCTCTAGGATGGCAAGTAAACCACCCCAGACTACAGGGTGAAGCTTCTACTGGGTAGAATGGGATCCCCTGAGGGAGAAAAGATGCCTCAAGAGGTCTGGAGCAAAGGTGGCTTCCTTCACACAAAGGACAGCATGCCCGGATTGACTCCCAGATGCGCTTGCCCTGAAAAGCTCCCAGCGAAGACCACCCCTCTCTTAGTTGGCAGTCAGGGAGCTGGGAAGGTTTGGAGATCGCGGCTGCAGTCAGGAGAGCGCGAGAGATTTAACTCTCCGGCAGCTTCTCCAGCTTCGCCGGCATTGACAAGATCGGGCAAGCAAGCCTTCCACTTCGGTGCGCTTGCAGACGGCAGCCCACCCAGCCCGACTGCTTTCAATAAAAGCTGGCGCGGTGATGTGGGGGGGGGGACCATGACAAGGTCGCTCAGCAACTAGGCCGCTTCTTTCAGTTTCGCCTCTTGATTGCTGTTTATTACTCAGTATTTACTCCTCGGCTGCTCCCCGCTCCCCTCTTTTTTGTTTTGATGACACACGTGCGAGGAGGGGAGGAGGAGAAGGGAGGGAGGTCAACCACAGGTGGATCTGCCCCAGGGCCTCGTCCCTCACCCCTCCTCGCTTCACGCGCCCCCACCCGCCAGGGCGCAGCAGCGGGAGGAGAGGTCAGAAATCCCTCTTACGCCCGTGACGTTTGGGCCCTCCGGGAAGGAGGCCCTGGAACGGATCTGAGCAAACCTGGAGGCGAGGGGACGCCTCCCGCAAGGCCGCAGAAGGGAAAGCGGGAAGCTCGGGTGGCTTTCAGCTGGAGACCGATCCCGGGCGCCCTGATCCAAGCAAGGCGGCGGGCTCTCCTCTTTAGCTCGGAAACGGCGAGCTTGGCTAGTCTTGCGTGCTTGGGATTGCCGCTGAATAGAGCCTTTGTGCAGGAGGGCTCCTTGACGCAGAGCAGACCTGCCTCCCTCTCCCATCAGCTGGCCTCGCGTGGCCCCAAAGGAAAAGCGAGGTCGCCCGGTGCCGAGCGCTCGCCTTGGCTCGTGGCCAACGACCCCGAGAGGCTCTCCATCTAGTCGCTAGGCGAGGACCGGCTCCGGCCGGCCCCGATGGGGAGAGCAGAGGCCGCCTCGACTAGCAAGCGCTGCTGTCCCCAGGCCGCTTCCACCCCCCGAGATTGATCTGGTTAAAGTTATCGACTTATTGGCGGGAGGTAATTAGCCAGATGAGAAAAGCTATACTGATCGCCGATTCGCTGACCGCAAGGTTTAAATAACTTTGCACGTGCATAGTTCTGCTTCGTTGGATTTTTGGGAATCAGGCTTTTGGGTGAGTTCTAATGGTCACAGGAGCTCTTCGGCGCGCGAAGGAAACGAAAAGGTACGTTCCCTGGGAATGGACTTTCCACGGCTGCCACCCGGTCTAGGACCCCAGGTCAGCCTCCTTTGCAATCCGCGGCTCCCAGTAGACCAGATAGCAAACCGGAATGTAAAACAGATGTTGGCTGAAACCAGCTTCGGAATGTATACATCATCTAGTTAAAGGACAAA